CGCCTATTCAAGCATGTCGCGTCTCGATCCCGAAGCGCTCCCAGGCAAAGTCGTCACATCGTCCCTCCAGGGGCCTCCAGGGAAGGAGGAGAGAGCTCCGTTGTCCGAGGATGAAAGGTCGACCGAGGTGAGCGGCAAACCCCCTCAGGTTTGTCGATGGTTATCCCTCAACCACTAGCCCAGTCAGCCCTGGGGTTTTCGATCGATTGGAAACTGCGGAGGTGATGGAGCCGGATCGGCGTCCTGAGATAGGAACATCATAGTCATGAAACGTTCCATGGAAAGATTTCAGAGTAGAGTGCCGTCACTGGAGACCAGAAAATTATGGGCTGTTCCTAGATTCCCTGGATAGGATACTTCCATAGGCATCCTATCATGGAAGTATCCTATCCAGAAGCCATGACGCGGTTGAGGGGTACATGTCGTCGAGCCACGATACGGACGAGATGCAGTCGATGTCCCTGATCAAGTGTCACCCACAAAAGTGCCTGGCCGTTCAGTCGACAGCTGAAGTAACGAGTCAGCCCCTCTTTCCAAGAAAAGCCACAACCCTGAGGAGAATTTGTCACCAGGTCTTGCAGATGTGAGGAGCGTCTAATCTGCTGAGAAGCCAAGTAAACTAAAGAGGCTGCAAGATGTGGTCCGAGGCGTTGCAGTAACAAAAGGTAAATGTTCTCTTCACACCCCACGCCCCCTGGACTTCCCACTGAGCTTCGCAGATCCCACGCCTCGAGTTGTTCTATGATCAACTCCCTGCTCTGTGGGAGGACACAGTTCTCGGGTACATCCGTACATGAGGAGGAGAGAGGGAGGAACAAGGAGCGAGAGAAAAGAAACCAGGAGTGGGATCGCCGCGAGGGCACAGCAGAACGCCTCACTCCCTCGGGGCTTAGGTGGCCATAAGAGGTTGGGCCAATAGAGGACCTTTACGAGCGAGACTGACTCTGATCGAGACCTGCAGGGTGTTGGTGACATGCCTGGCCGAGAAATTGGTGGCAGAGCCCAGAGGGCTGCTGTGAGAGCCACGGTGACCCATGCTATACTTTTGGGCCACCGAAGAGCCGATTGCGCTACAGAGGACAGTGATACCTCGTATGAGACAGCAGGCAGGGAAAGGCGCGATGGTGAGGAGCGAAGGTCGTGCGGTTTGGGATTAAGTGGCATGCCTTGCAGCAATGTCGTCAGACTCGTATCTCCCCTGGAGAACATCATCCAAGCCGTCGTGCTGGGACCGGACCGTTGTACATTGTCTCTATCCAGGTCATGCAGCCAAAAGAAAGCCAGCAAAAGCATGCAATACAGTACAAGATAACTAGGTTACCCGGATTCCGTCTGTTCGAAAGATGCGTCAAATTAGGAAGCGCCATCGCGTACTCCGTAGATCCCGTTGTTCGTTTGGTGTCATCCAGCCCCCAACCAGCGGGGAGGGAGGCGTGGGAGGGCTACCGAGCGCGGTTTGCGCCTCAGCTAGGCATGTCACCTTGGGTCCAAAGAAGAGGAGACGTGTGTGTTGAGTTGGTGTCCAGCTTTGTTTTTCCCGCCCTCGGATGTCGCGCTGAGCAGCTGGGGCGGCAGACTGGCTCAAGCGGACCTGTACCATGAATCTTTGGGTAATCGTTCCTTGTCTCGACTCTCCTGTCTGTATTGAGGAGCAGCAACCATCTGTTCCGTAATCGGAAGTGAGGCATCAGCCAGACACGGCCGCAAGGTCAGGCCGGCAGTCGATGAAGGTGGAGCATGCGTGAAGCGCGGCAAGCAAGGACCGCATGTTCAAGCTCTTTGCATTATCTGATGGATATACTTGCTCGAGATGATGCAGCTTCCCACCGCTCTCTGCCATAAAATTGTGTCGGTGTACGGGAACATGCAGATGCCATCAGGGACGGCTTAGGTGGAACTCATCTCCTACGCGTCGTTCCTATTCCTTGATGATGCTCTACTGGCAGGCTCGCCATCTTGGCTCGCCCACTCCCCAGAGTAACGGTGAATTGGGAGATTTTCTCCCCCCCTGCACCCTAGCTTTTACAGTTCTGGGCCGATCGGATGGAGTCGTCCCCAAGGGCCAAGGCAAGGTAATGCTTGTCGTCGATCTCTACTGTGTCGTCGTCGCTGGTCACCCGTTCCCGAGGGACTATTGACTAGGTTGGTCGTTCATCCAGGTAGTCTCGAGCGACAAACATCCCAAAGCAATCTGCCCCTTCCTCGCCGCGTGAGTGCAAGCTCGACTAGGCCTGCAATTCGAAGCACTCTGGATTATTTGAGGTCGACCCATTCTGGGCACGACGGAAACGCGAAACGTAGCCCTGGAGTGGCTAGTCCTGGCGATCATTACTCCTCCCACGTGGTCACAAATCAAACAAAAACCGGTGAGGCTAATGAGCTATCAACGCGGGACCAATAGCACAGGCACGCCGTGCGTGATGGTAACAGGTGCGCCGTAGAGGAAGAACCCAGTCGAGATTGTGAGCGGCAATTCGACGGGTTAGCCAAGCCAAGCCATTGGGTATCGTGAACCCCCATATTCACATGAGAGTGAGACTGAAGAGTCGAAGGGGAAGAGGCGACTGGGATCCTGAAAGATCTGGAAGCACGGCAGGCCGGTGCCATGTCGCTCAAGATATCGCAATCAACTGTGTCCGTACCTTGGCCCACTGCGTTCACAGTCCAACGCAATGAGCCAAGCCGTGTTGGCGCTGCGGCCGCCCGTGGCACCCTTGGCCGCGTAAACAACAGGCTTGTTGATGTCCCGCCGCTAGAGGCACGAGTTACCGAACAGGGAGGCCTAGAGTTTGACAATGACATATTCGTAGATGAGCCAGCTATTCGATTAGCCTGTAAGCATCGTCTTGGGCCACATAAATGGCGACAGAATAGGCCGATGGGCTCGCAAAACAATCCGAATGCTGGTCATCCCCACGCAAAATTAGCTCCTCACGACACGTCTAGTCCAGTAACGCCGAACGCCACGAAACGCCTTCGTTTCTTATTCCAACATCTCTCCACTTTCTCATATTATTTTAGAAAGTTCTTCTTGGCCGACTGACATGACACGAACGGGGAGTCGGGGGCGACTCCAGCATTGCCAGCATGGTCATCCCGAATAAAAGAAAATTTGGTCGTGTCACCAGACCAGGTCTAAACGAGAGTGAGAACGGTACTCCGTACAGAGTAGGTACGGGAACGCAACGCAGCACATCGTTGCAAGCATCTACACAGGAGACGTCCCTCTTGTGTTAATTTCTTTTTGCTGATTGGTTGCACACGCCTTGCTGCAGGATCGTGGGAAAAAAACCGAGATGAGGTATGCTGGCGGCAACCCGCAGAGCTTCCAGATACTTGAACGGTGCGACCAGTGTCATTTGTGTGCGATACTGCTGTGCTACGATCCTGGCGCTCGCTCCGGGTCGTCTGGAATCACGGGTGCTACTACGAGCTCTAGGATTGCGTCGAGGAGATGATGCTGCCATTACCGATCAGAGCCAGAATACAAGGACGGCCTCGTCGGATACGATAGGCGACAAGTCAAATGCGCAGTCCAAATGCTGCTGGGACCTCGTCGCGCGTCGTGATAGGAAATGCTGTATCAGAGTTCCTGTGAGATGGCGCTGCCCAGAAAAAGCAGTGCTAATATGCCGCGGCGTCAATTGAGTCGAGGACTTGGAAATACATGGGATGATTTGCCCAACGATTGCGCACGCAATCCGGCATGCGCAATCTAGCTGGCGAAGCGTCTGAATCTTGCAGTCTCAGAGAGCGCAAAGTTGATGTTGATCTTTTGAGGTGTGCACCCGGCATGTGCCTCGTTCGACGGCAAGCAGCACGAAGTTCAAGCCGGCCTCCCCCTTAGATCCAGCAGTCAGGGGCGGGTAGTTGAGACAAATGTTTTGAGCCTGGTGTCTTCGATCCACGAACCAGTATCCGAAGGACTGGTTTGTGGACAATAGGTGTGTTGGCTGAAGTCGCATGATAAGGTCGCACAGGTAGTCCGGGGCATACGTCGTATAACGTCTTTTGCCGAGTGCGCATGAGTCGTAATGGAAAGCTGCCACACTGTGGCGTAAAAGAAACGGCCCATCGAGTAAAAATTGTATACTGGTTTTTGAAGGTCCGATCTCTTTCTACTGTCGGGTAAGTCGAGCCCAGATACTGACTATGACAGTCGTCTCTTGAATGACAAGTCGAAGGATCGAAGACTAATGCCCACTTTCTCACCTCGGGTTGCTCAACCTCTACATGCCATCATGTGACGAATAGCCATTGCATGAGTTGACAGTTTTCGTGAGGCTGCCAAGACCGTTGGCAAGAGCGCGAGGGAACCCAAAGATGTGGTTATGCCGAAGTGTGTGGCTGCTGTGCTGGTAACAAGGCCATACTTGGAGTAGATTAGCGAGAGTGAAGACACGGCAGCAGCTATTCCCCGTATGCAAGCCCAGGGCTGTGCCAACATACCGAGCTGAACGTGACCATGGCTGAGCAAGGAAGGTTTTCTCTTGAGCCCCAGGGAGTTGCCCAAACGATATGTCTGTGGCACAAGGCCGCATGCTCGGCATACCAACCATAGCTCTCTCCCAGTTCGGAACACAGGCCAATCATGTGTCTCGAGCACGATCAGTCACATTGCCGCCTCCCGCACCGAAGAATGATGTTGCACAGCAGTTGATGGTGGCAGGCGTTAAAGAAAGCGGTCGTATCAGACGATGGTGCTGCGAGAGTGAGCGCAAGATCTGCTTCAAGGCTAATATGGAGGTGCATGATCTTGTTAGGTGAGACCTCTCTCTCCCTCTCTCCCCCCCCCTCTAGATCATCGCCTTCACTCCGCCGAAAAGCTTTTGCGGCTGAATACGTCGTTCCAGATCTCAGTTAATAAGCTGGGCTTAGTTGAGCACACCGGAATGTAGCCTAATATCGATATGCATGCAGCGGTACGGCACTTTGCAATGCGAATGAAGGAGTACAGAGTTTCTGCGAAAACGAATTAGGTAACTCAATACCTGGCCCCGTCTCAACAAACACAGCGTCCGGCACTGCAACGCGCTCCCGCACGTTGGCATACGGTCGGGTAGGCGGTCGACAGCAACGGGGTCGCAATCGCTTCTTTTAAACCTGTTCGGCATCGTTTCTGGTGAACACTATCTTGAATAACGCGACCCGAGACATGGTAAAAGCATGCCCTAGGAATGCGCCTTGGGGAGCATGTTTGAGGGGCTTAGCTGTTAGGCCCTGGGGAGCGCTAATTCGTGTTTAGGCTCTCAAGCAACGGCTATGTCGCGAATGCCTTAGCTAATTAACTCGAGTGCTCCTGCAGCGTTGCCCCGGTTGCTGTGACTATGGAGTACGGACCATATCATGCGTACCATGCTGCCTGTCATGGAAGCATATGAGAGAGAATGCTGCCTTGAACTGATACGGTCGAAAATAGAAAGGAGTGTTCATCATGATGGCCTGGATCCATGGTCCTGGGCCTTCCGCTACGGCCACGAGGTGGGTCCGAGGCAAAATGTCTCGCATCACGCAAATCAGGATCTCGAGGTTCTTAGTTCTCGGAAGCGAATCTGCAACATGCGGGCCTCGAGGCAAAGCAATGAAGGCAAGGTACCGATTGTCTGCCCCCTTCCCACCCTGGCGGAATGACTTGCATATCAAAGACACGGCCGGGCGGACAGGACATTGGTGACAAGGACGAAGCAGGTGGATTGCGGATGGTAAGATAGTGCCAGGGCACAAGTGGGCAAAGTTGCACCAAAGATGAAGTGGTAAAACGGTAACAAGCGAGAGGCCGTCTGTGAGAGGGCAGGCAAGGCGGGCTTGCGTGTGTCGCGCGAGATTGGGTGGACTAAGGTAGAATGACCACGCTTTCCAGGGCCATGGTAAATGTCGTAGTGAGAGACGAGCCAAGCGAGCCAAAGTTGGAGCCAAGGTGTGATGCCATGATTGGACACCTGCCACACCCGCAACCGCACCCGTAACTACAACCGCATCCGCACCCGCACCCGCAAGCGTATCGGCATAAGGCGGATGTGTCATGATGAACGGACAGGAGACCGGAGCATGAGCGGCAAAGCCTGTGGTCTGCGTCTCGTCCGCTTCCATCCACTGTTGCCAATGATGGTGTCGAGCTTGCTAGGTATGGAAAGAGGATGGCGCTATCTAGAACAAGAAGAGGGGAGGCGCCCGAGGTCGATGGGTACGGCCGTAGGCGAATGGTATCTAGTGTATCTGCTCTAGGGATCAGGCGGCCGACTGTGTTGGTCGAGATACGTACAAGTAGTCCTTGGGGGAGGTCAGTAAGCATAAGCAGGCTCTACCTACCTTACCTTACTGTGTACTGCGTAGAATACCACATACCTACCGGTGGACGAAGAAGACGGCGTGTAAGGTAGCGTGGTCGCGTGGTGGGCATGGGTAGGTAGGGAGCACGCATGCGGCATCGAGTGGTAGATTGGAGTGAGAGAAGGCGAGTGAGGGAGGATTGGGAGGTGAAGATAGCGACGAGAACAGCGTGCTGGAGTCGAGATGATGACGATATCAACGGGCCTGGGAGGATCCGTCCATGGATGGCCCTGTACAAAATAGTACCCCAGGGATTAGCTGGGCGCTTCGAGGCGAGGTAGACTAGGTAATGAGGGGCATGTCGACCTCGTGGAGTACCCGTGGAGGACACGCTCTAGAGGAGTTAAGGCTCGTGGTATTTTGGCAAATTTGGGATGAATGCTTGTTTAGCAAGCAAAGTGCAAGTGCAGCCGAAGCGGAGGCGGATGAGCAGCAAGTCGGATGTGGAAGAGGGTCGAAACGGCGGGGTGCAGAGAAGGAAGGGCTCGTTGGCTCGTTGGCTCCCACACTAGCTAGGTACTCGGTACGCTCCCTGGCAGGCGAGGGAGACGTAGGTTGCGGCGCTGCAGCAGAGGGAGAGGAACGCGGAGGAGAGGAACGCAGAGGAGAGAAAGCTTGGTGGTTGAAGCTTGATGATTGAAGCTTGTTGGTTGCTTGACGAGGCCACTGGAGGGCAAGCCGCAAAAGGATGGTGAGAAGTGAGGAGGAAATGTCAGGGGGGACCCTACTCTCCGGGACCTGCAGGACGGGACTCGATGAAGGAATAAGAAAGTGTTGGCGGCAGAAGCGGGGGGAGAAATCATCAGATATTGGACTTGTGGCGGTGATGATGCGTTGGTGCTCGTGGTGGTCGTGGTGGTGGTGGTCATCAAACATGGTGGACGTTGACGGTTAAGGTGAGGGAGGAAGATGTCGTCGTTGTACGGTACCTTGGCTTCAAATTGTGTGTGGGAGTCTGGAGATGCACGAGAGACAAGGTCGGCAGATCAACCTGAGGCACATGGATGTAAAAATGCGAGATCTAGGTATCAGGGCAGGTACCTTAAGGTAGGTAGACATGGGATCTTCCTGCCCTTGAGAGAAGTATTTGCTTAGAGACTAGACACATGGCCCTTTCCTTCCATGGTGTGGAAATTTGGAGAGAGATTCGAGGAAGGAAGGGAGTGAGGCAGGGAGGAAAGATCAGGAAGCCGTCGTACCTTATAGCGTGCGGCGTGCCTGCCCTCACGATGTACATCGGTACGTCTTAGATCACTATTCACCCAGTAAGGTAGGTACCTTCCTTACCGGCCTTGGGCAGGTACGAGGAGGTAAAGGTACTGTTCCACTTTTTTTGTTCCTTACCTCCATAGCTTAAGGCAAGGCAAGGCAACTAGGCAAGGCAGAGAGCAGTCCGTTACCTAAGGTACCTTAGAGGCGATTCACTACCTTGTCGGCACAGGTAGCGCCGTCATGGCAGTCTAGGGCACAGGGTCGCTGAAACTCGCCTGATGTCTGCTGGAAATCCGCCGGGACCAGACTGACAGCGGCCCTTGCCTTGCGCTATCCGTGTCGGGGCTTTGGGGGCGGTGTTGGTGCCGGGACTTTGCCTACCTTAGGTAAACCAACGACCTGGCTCCATACTGGAAAGGTACGTAGACACCTTGACGAGAACCTTGAGGTGGATTGGACTTCCGTCATGGTCGCTTATCTACCTATAGTAAGGTACCTTAAGGTAGGTACGTGAGTCTGGAAGCTCACAAATGTACTTCGTACTTTAGCCTCTTATGTTTGATGGCCTAGTTCCTCTGAGATGGAAGGCGTGGAAGGCGTGGATGGCGTGAAAGGCAAGATCGGTGACAGGGTTCCTTCCTTACTCCTGGAAGGTGAGGCACGATACAGATACCTCTGGAGGCTGGAGGGAAGGCCCGGCCTCCGATGCGACTTGTGCAAGGCAGGTACCTCGAGTTTGTTCCTCAGGTTTCCGCAGGTCAGGCAGGGCAGGTCCATTCCTAGAAGAGGTTTGTGATGGAACTCTGTCCTCGTCCTCCTTCCCGCCCGCCGCCGCTCTCCTCCCGCGCGCACTAAGGCAGCGAGATGGACGACAGACACAGACACAGACACAGACGGCATGGATGATGGATCATCCCACAAGGTAGTAGGACCATTTCCTCCTCCTTCTCCTCAATCCTCTCACCACGTTACCACTCTGAGAGACTGAGACTCCAACGCTCCGCTGCCATCTACCTACCTCACCGTCTCCGCCATCACGGCCGTATGCGTCTCTAATTGTCATGCTTCTACGAATACCGAGTACCATCTGCCGCCGCCTTGTCTGCCACTAGGTAGCCACCTCGGGGCCCCCCCCTCCCCTTTAATGTCTGCCACAACCTCACAGGAACAGCACTTGCGAGCCAGAGATTGGGTGCTTACCGCTCACCACCGCCGAACCGCCGCACCGCCTGTCTGCGAGCGAGATCTGCAACAAGGGTTCTCCTTGTAATCCTCCTCTAGCCGTCGATCCAGTCTTCTCCAAACATCCGAGTCTTCCAAAGGGGGCAATGGAATGGTCCCACGAGGCTTGAACCTGGTCTATCTGACCAAACGTACGCTACCTTACTCCGTACCAACTACGCATACATACGTACGAATGATACCTCCCGATACCTAGCCTTGCAATTGCTAGTCCAGCTTCGCTCGCCCGTCGTGTCGTCCATCAAACATGGCCATGGCATGGCTCCAGGCCCCTGAAGCCTGAAGGAAAAGGAACCCTCCCCCTCGATGGTCCAGTCGCCTCCATCTTGGCAACTCGAGTTGGCCCTCTCAGACTATGACGGTCAGTCGCCGCCTTACCGTCACGAATTACCATCGTAGTCGTCACCCTAGTCATGGCGACCAACCCAGGGGCGCCTCAAGCCGAGCCTTGTGAGGGTGTCGCTGTAGGTAGCCACCTTCCTTGCCGCCTATCGTTTAATATCTCTTCAACTCAACTTGAAGAGAGTCACGGACTATGTCTTGTGCAGGAGCATCTCGCCAGATCAATTCCTGTAACACCCGCCGCCCGCCGCCAGATGCGTGTGCAGTGTTAGGTTGTGTACGGAGTACTTTGCCTCACGAATGCACACATCGCTCCCCGGGCCTCAGGACTGGGAAGTCCTCACTTTTGTGCTCCTAGCCGTCGGTGCCATTGGTATCGATGGGGGCCGTGACTGCACCCAACACAGTATGGGCAAATGACTGCCCGCTCCACTTCCGGAACGTTCGCTCTTGAGATGTCGTCTAGCCGACTGTCGGGCTGGGAACACAAACCCCATGGACCTAAGCAAGCCAAGCAAGCACCAACGACGACCGAAAGAGTTGCAACCACTGCCGGGCAACTTGGTGCCTCGAGCCTATCGACAGCGGCCGTGTACCATTTGCTCGCGTCGCCTGCGAATGCAGCCCGCTGCTCGCTCGTCGGTACTCGCCTTGAGCTCATACTTTGCTACACCAACGTTTTCGAAAAGACTGCGATTTGGATCTTTGCCATGTTGGACTGAGTCTAACAGGGACGCCGCGGCGGGAAGCCACCAACCTTTCCAAAACCACCCACGTTGAATATAAGACCGCAACCGTTCCCAGGCTATCGTCGACGTTGAGCCATCCTATTGCCTGTCCACTGTGAGCCAACCATCCGACACTAGTCACGTCCACTGGAATCTCTATTTGCTGGAGCCCACGCCGTCCTGATTCCATCACCAACTGGTATCGGTCGTTGTCGTCGTCGACAACTCCTACACCCCCCTGCTGGCTGTCATCGACCCATCGCATTTCACTTTGCGGCATCGCCCGCCTTTCCCATCTCACCCCAAGCTACTCCGTACCGCCCGTCAATTGGAATTAGGTGCAGTCGTCTCAGACACGAGTCTCACGCTTGTTGACTCTCCGACAACCACTAGGAACGAACCGACAGCGGTAAGTCCACCAAGCCAGCCCACTAGGCACCTCGCGAAGAAGGCCCATCCAACGGGGAGGGGAATTGGGTTGTGAACAGTAAGTCTGTGCCTGACATGACAGCGAGACACGGGCGCTACGGAAAGAAGTTGAGTTGACGTGCGGAGGCGGGCAGATAGCCAGACACAGATCCGTCTATTCCCGCACAAGACGGCCGCCAATTCACCAGGCCCACGCCGCCAGGCCACGCCAGGCTTTGCCAATTCCGTGCCGTGAGTCTTGAACTCTCTTTTCTGGACCCTTTCCACGTTCCCCCAGTTGAGCCAGGCATCTTTGCTTGCGCTGCTCTGCCCAAGCAATAAAATGGCCGGTCATGGCGCCCACCCGTCCCGCTCTCCGGCGTCAAGGCTTACACGGGAGACTGCCATGGCTTCTCGAGTCCTGGGAAATAAGCACAGTGCTGGCTCGTAGTCCGAGACGGGTCGCAACAAGACGGTTGTTGATTGGGGTTCGGTCCGCCCAAGTTTGAACCTCATCAGCGTCGACCGGGAGAGTGGCCTCGGCATTACAGCTCTCTAGATGATATCCGCGGCGATGGCTCTGGTCGAAACCCCCAACATTTCCATCCACACGCACGCACACACACACACACACTTGTGGAGGCATATCGACCAGGGCGTTCGTTCAGCTGTGCTGGGGGGCCCTGCTTGGGCAGAAATGACGGGGATTCGATCTCAATCAACTGCCCGGGTCTGCAAAGCCGCCTAGCTTTATTGGACCACCCGACAGGCGTCGCCGCCTGGCTTGCTTCCCGCCGTCGATCATCCCGTCTCTAGCCTCTAGTGCAGTATTGCTGCCTCCTGCTGGCTGCAAGGGGGTGTAGTGTGTGGTAGTGTATGCGTAGGGAACATGGAGGGGGAGCCCGAGTGTCAACACACCACTGAAGGCAGCGAAACCCCGGCTTGGCCCTGCGAACATGCTTGGCTGGGCTGCGATGGGTTGTGGTGGGAGTAGATCGAGAAGCCAAGGTTGAAGCAAGAGGTTGAGATGGCAGCAACACAGCGCCGCCTCTGCCTCTTTCGATGCCCTGTGCATCTGTGCATCGCCAACCATGTCTCGACATGTTTGGTGTCGTCAAGTCTCCAGCACACGCTCCCCTCATTTTCAATGACTTGACCCGACAGCCCTCTCTGTCACCGCTGAGGTTACAATCACGCTATTCTCCAGCGGGAGGATGAATCCACTGATCACCCCCGGGACCGAGTGCTTCACCTGCACTATTAGCAATCGGGCTGACCAATTAGTGGTGACAGGAAACATCGAGAAAGAAACGAGCAGGGCAGGGCAGCAAATGCCAGGGGCAGGGCAGGAAAGCTCCGAGATCAAGACCCGGGGAGGCACAGAAATCCCACAGCGTCTTCTCGACGCTCGCGTGCAGGCAACAGGCAAAGGCAGAGCTCGGCTCAGAGAAGAGGCAGCGTTGTGAGTGTACCTACCCTCACTTGAGCCCCCATCTTCACCACCACCGCTTGATTAAGGTAGTTCTTGGTTGTCTAATACAGACTACGGATACCGATAGAGAGTATCACGCGTTATTGATCGACCCTTCTGAGACCAAGGCGAAGGAAGAAATAAGCATATTCAGGGGGTGCAAAGCAGCTCTGTCCGGGTTTCTTCACGTTACCGGGTACCTCGCCGTTTATCGCGACTTCTTTTTTGACAGCACTCCCAGTCGGGACAATTTGCGCCCACTCCACAGCGGCATCAGAGATCGTCATTTGGCAGATGCGCCCCGGAAGCCCGAGCAGCCGAAGCGACACCGACGAGTGATTTGACCCCCAACGACCTTTTTTCGGTCGAGGCGAAGCAGTAGCCGTACCGTACCGTACCAATACTCCGTAGTGTATTTGCTGTACGGATACGGATACCTAGTGGTATTATTATACCTTGCTGGGCTCAAGATCTCCATAGATCTCCGTCGGCTTTCATCTCGGCCGCGGACGACACCGGCCCAACCCAACGCTCCCAGGCCCTGCTGTTGGCTGTTGTACGCTCGACTAGATTTCAGCCTCTAGAAAGCACGCTGATCGTACGCTATCTACGGATATACCTACCTAGAGGCGGGCAGGCCGTAGACCAGATATCCAAAGACGATCGTGAGAGACATCAGGTCCAAGGCGGACCGGTCCCTGGATCTCACTCTGAGTTTTGAATCAGATGTAAGTCTCATCTCTCTATAGCCAGGTTGCTGCATCCCTTCATGCGGATCTCCCGATCTCCTCCATATTTTTTTCTTCCCACACCTGATCTTCCACCGGCTCCCGTGCTTTTCCTGGTAGGTACTTATTCATGATGATGGTGCCATGTTAGCAAAATGTGCCCTCTTTCAGCTACGCTATCTGTGGCATGGGCTCACCAACCTTGCTCCATGCGCTTCTAAGTTCTCGCACACACATACTCTCTCTCTCTCTCTCTCTCTCTCTCTCACTGTATCCGTACTGTCATTCATATCCTCTCTTCGTCTGGCCCCCCCCCCCCTCACGTCCCCCCAAACCCCCCCCGATTTCAAAAGGCACGAGCACACAGGGTTTGTATTGGATGACGGGTTGGTTTAGCCTGGGGTATCCCTCGTGCACATTCAGACTTGTACATTGCCTGACAGGTCTTGTGCAAGGTCTTTGGTAGTTGAGGGGGTGCGGACGGACGCATGCAAGGGTTCAGCCGGTCGGTAGTATCCCAAGCCAGATCCAGTGACACTGGAGCGTGCCGCTTGTATCCCGATTGCACAGACTACCACCGCACCCCTCCATGCCGTTAGATGAGCCCCGGTCCATCCTAATCCTGGCCACATGCCACAGTCGGTCTACGGCCATTCCTCTCGTTCATCCCAACCCTCCCGCTCATTGGGTTTGCTGCAGCTGCTCACAGGAGCTATGGCCAATCACAGTACGCTAACCCGTGGTTCGCAGACTTCAAATCCCATCTACCAAGTGCCACATACCGTCCGTACAAGCTCCAGCTACGCTTGATCGACACACGCCTCGAGTCTCTCTCACACTCAGTCTCTCTCTGTCTTCTACGATACCCCCCCCCCCCCGGCAGTCTGTCTCTCACTCACGCCTTCACGCACTCACACACACACACACTCTCTCTCTCTTTCTTTCTCTCTCGCTTCTTCTCTTTTCAGTTCTTCTGTTGTCTGAACGCAAAAGTCAACCTGAAGCTTCTCCCGCCCTAATAAGCGTGCATCTTCCAATATCGCGAGCAACAACGACAACGACGGGTGATCGCCTCACTGCTTATATGTTTCCCACAAAGCTGCCTAATAACACAGAAAAACTTCACGACGGATAGAAATACTTGTGCCTGCAAGTCTTTTGGTTGTGCTGAACATCATCTGTACGTAAGGTACCTTACCTAACAATACCCCAGTACTGCCTCTCCTGCGCTGCCGCTCATCACGGTCGATCTTGACGAGTAAGTCCCCTCTATAATTCCTTTGTCCTCTCCTCAATCTCAGTCTTTCTCTCTTTTTCTGCCCTCTTTCCATCCATCTATGGATCCAGGCCCCTCGTCCTGGGCTTCCTGATGTTCCCTGTCATTTGTCATCCCCCTTCTTCTTCTTCTTCTTCTTCCTGCAACGGCCGTTTCCTTCTTTCCCTATTACGAACGGTCTCTCCCCTTCAGTCTCCCTGCATGAGAGACCTTTCTCTCTCCTTTGCTTCTCGCTTTTGACACCACAGCCCCGTGTCTTGCCTTTGGGCTAGTAACTGGTTAAGTTACCTACCTCGTTATCCATGGTGTCTGAGTAGCAAGAAAAAAAAGGACTTCACCAAACATGGGTGACAGCCTTATTCCCTTGCCACACCCCCAAATCCTCTATGAAGCAAGTCTCTCTCCCCCCAACTGCATGCCAACTCTTGCCAGCTGAATTGGTTCCTATACATCATCATCATCACTATCCACGAATACCTACAGCCACTCAAACACGCGCAACACCCCCTTCCTCAATGAACAACTGACTCCCGCTCCCCCACCCTTTTCTCTTCAGATGAATGAGACCTTGTTGCCCATAAGACAACTGGAACCTCGCATCCCCAACGGTGGTCCCTATCCCTGCCCAGCCTTGCCGGTCCTCTACAAGATTCCATAACCACGTTCAGGTTGCTTCCTGTACGGATACCCTTACCATACACACCCCCCTCCCCTCATCCCCACAAATGCCACCCGGTCTTGAGTCCCTCCTTGCCCGCTTCTTCCTCCGCCAAAAGCTACCCGCGGGCCAGATTATCTCCACTGGCTACTAGGTATAGGGAAGGACGCAGAGCCCTCTTCCAAAAGAAACGACGAGGGGTACTACTGTAAGGGAGGGTAGTCGGGATCCCCAAGACGGAGCTATTGGTACGTGAGCTTTCTGTTAGTGCGGCAAGCAGACCAAAAGCAATATCCATCTTCCCAAGGTCCCTGTTCCCTCCCGTGTGGATCTGTCCGGCCGAACCTCTCTGTCGCCACAGACTCGTCGTCGTCGTCTTCCCTTCAACACTCATAACACACGTACCGTACCTGGCCTGCAGGGAGACAGACTGGCTTTGCTATCTATCTCTCCATCAGACCTGGCTATGCGAGAAATGCAACACCACTGCCCCGTACCTCGTCAACATTCCTCATCTACCTCCTTCACCCCCGCAACAAAATCAGCGACAGAGTCTGACTTTCTGAGTCCCAGTCTCGTCTCTCCCTCTTACTCCCCATCTCATATTCTCTTTCCAGTTTCCCCATTTCTGGCTTCGCCTAACCCGTCCATGCCTGGTGAGTATCCTAACACTCGATATTCGGGCACCTCTGGCTTGGTGGACCTCGCAAACCTGCTATTGTTCTCGCCGAAGAAACGCACGAGTGCTGCGGAATCTTTGGCCTTGTTTCCTTCAGAAAACGCCTGTTTCTAACTCTCTTGTTCTCACGAACAGGTTCGCCATCAGCCTGCAGGGCCAACGAACGAAGCACGGTTCAGCTCCACGTCTTTGGCATCGTCAACAGACAGGTTCAGTCTGTTTGTCAACAACCTCTAGCCCTGATTGGATAACACACTGGCGAACACCCCAGTCTAGACGGTTGAGTACGTGATCCCTTCCTCTGCCTGCAAGCTGTTACATGGCCACGAACTCCAGCAAGAAGCCGTCACGCCACTTGCTGCACCTTGCCGCCCCCAGCCAGCAGTTCTTGCGAAGGAGCATCAACGCTCCACCTTGGGAGCATTCAGGCTGACCTGCGTGCCAATGAACAGTCCCAGCACGGCATCTTTCAGTCCGTTACCAACGCGTTGGAATTCTTGGGTCATCCCGAAACTTGATCTCAGATTTCGGTTTGCCAGCGCCCCGGCGACCAATGACAGGTGCATCGGTCTGAGTTCACTTCGCGCGACATCTGCTCTCAAAGAGCTGAGCTTGGTTTAAGATTGCCGCTCCTGGGTATCTTCTCAGCCTTCCCGCTTTCTCCATTTCCCCAACTTGCTTCGCTCTTCTTAAACCTGGCATCATCGCCCGGCCCGACCTCTACAGCTCGCTCCTCGATTCCAGACGCGTCGAACCTCCATAATAATCACAGCAGCCGATCTTCTCAAATTCCTAGCGCCACCAGCCAGCTCGGAAACGCCATCCACATATCTGAGTACGGTGTCTCAAACCAATCCTGCCGGGAGAATCTCCTGAGACTGACGTTCCTCGACTAGGAATTCTCCCTTCCCTCGCACTTGTCCTTGGCCTATTCAATAAAACTCGCCCGGACTCTAATCACAGCAATCTCAAGACATATCTCTCCCTTCCTCCCTTTGTCCCTCGACGGTCCCACAAGGCCATAGTCTCTTTTCCTGTCGTTGCAACACTGCTCCCGAAACAGTGGTTTGCATTTTCCCGACACCAGACCACGCATCCTTTCCCAAGTGCACCATCTTCTACAGCTTGAATGTCTGCTGCGAAGTTTGAGTGTGCTTCCTACAAGCATTTCGAGGTGAGTCAACACTTTCACCCTCAACGTGGAGTTGAGCCACCCCCGAGACGTCGTCGTTTGGTCGCATCACTCGACAACGCCTCATACTATCTTGAAGAGTGCGGTAAGGCTGACGAGGGGTGCCTCACCGAGAACAGCCCGACTTCCACCCGCAAAGGCCAATAATCATCGGTGAGGAAGGCCTTGACTCGCCAGAAACGGTGACTCTCAAGTACGAAGAGGCAGTCGCAAGGGCCAACGGAGACCTTCGGGGCGACTCCCCGCCGGGCGGTCTCCTCCCCATGTCCCATTACGGGAAGCAGCAGCCAGGCCCAATCCACGGTACGTGTTTTCTCTTCTCTATAGTACAGGCGTGTCAGGTGGACTTTTTGTAATCTTTTAGCTTCCCATGAGAGATTTGGCGCAATACACCCAGCTGGAGGGTTATGGCTGACGCGACGTGTTTCCCGCAGGGTATGATTCATCCCGTGGGTATCAGGATGCCGGGTATCAGCAATATGGAGCGCAGGCCTATCCTGCGCAGCACGGCAGTGCAGGCCAGCTCACCGCAGCCCAGATGAACCAGGAAGCTTTTGCGGCCAACAGTGCGGTTGGCTCTTACATGTCTGTCAGTGTAGGTCCATCGGTGGTATCATGTCAACCAAGTTCTGGAATGGTGGGTACCAAAGTGCAGGTCAAGATCACCTCGCCATACGATCTCCTCACCGTAGCGCCTTTCTACTCCCTCGTTTTCGGCGCGAACAAGGTGCAGGCACAACCGACAAAAGAATCCCAGGACAGCAACGGGTACATGTTCACTGTCTCGGCCGATGCACCGCCATTTGTGGTCACCAGCTGTGCCAACGAAAACGTGCCAGTTTTGGTCCTGATTGAAACAGAGAACGGCGAGGAAGTGTTCAAGGCGGCAGCGGGTCAATTTGTATATCACGAAGCAGGCCCAGGTGCTAGCTCAGACGACATCACGAGGAAGGTGTCCAAGTCACCTGAACAGCAACATCAGTCCCCCAGGTCAGCAAGCACTCAGCTCGGCAACGAAGCCAGTACAAATACGTACGACTTTGCTACAGCTCCGCAACAACCTGCCCAGTCTCCCTATGGAAACTCATTCTCGCAAGACAACAACAGTCACAACATGCTCAGCGCTTATCGAACCAACTCCTTCCCGGAGCAGCATTACACCCGGGCGGTGCCCCCGCCGCTGCGGCCGCCGATGACCGGATGGCAAGCATACGGACGAACGCCGGGTCCCCCCATTACGCACACGCAGATCTCCCGTCCTAGCTTGACGCCGCTGCCCATGCCATCTGCCACGATGCCTCTGCTTGTCAGGACAAGCTCGATTCCGAGCTCTCCTGGAGGCGGACAGCAATCTGGATACAACCATTGGGGATCGTATTCAAACAAGGCTCAACTGAAGATTGTTGGCAAGCTCGACACCATGTCTATCGACTGGTCTCCCGAGGAATGGTCGAACCGAAGACGCATCGTCATGTTCAGCAAGAAACAGACGGGACCGACGCTCACGGCGACCTTCCGACCCGTCAATGTCAACGAGAGACCGCCCAACAGCATCTGCATCAGCTGCATCTGGTGGGCCGAGAAGAACGAGTGCTACGTCACGTCTGTGGACACCATCTACCTCTTGGAGCAGCTTGTCGTTGCTCCAGCCAGATTCACCGTGGAAGAGAAGAATCGCATCCGTCGCAACCTTGAGGGCTTCAGGCCTTTGACAGTCAGCAAGGCCAAGGCCGACTCGGAGGAATTCTTCAAAATCATCATGGGATTCCCGAACCCGAAGCCGAGGAACATTGAGAAGGACGTCAAAGTTTTCCCGTGGAAGATTTTGGAATCGGCGCTGAAGAAGATCATTGGCAAATACAGCGCTAGCCCCTCATCGACTCTTCCAGCTTCGCACCTCTTGACGCCCACACCGGTCAACGCGTATCCTCCGCCGCTCCCGACGCCGCCAGCCCCAACTGTTGCATCGGACCATGTCAGTGCCTATGGTGTTCCATCGCAAGTCCACCACCACGAAGGGTTGACCTCACCGAGGTCGATCACCGGCAGCACGCACAGCTGGCCGGCGTACTCGACAGGACCACCACGCAACCTTTCTCCCGCACTTACATCTGTGTCCCCGCGGCAATCTGGACTGCGTCTCGCTGCACCCTTACCAGCTGTCAGCAGCTATGATAGTCGGTCGATGACGAGCCATTCATACGGCGGCGGGCTTCAGACACCGCTAGGAAACCAGCATACACCGCCTTCAGCCCCTGGACGGTGGGATCCTGCGATACCAGCGATGCATGCACCGACTACCTATGCAGAGCAGTATCAGTCCATGACTGCGCACCATACCCCGAGTCATCAAGTATACGGTGGTGGCGGATACGGGGACGGGGCGCAACGGGCTTGATGCCGCGGAGGCCGCTAGGTGGGAGTGAGGGTGCATAGCGGGCGGCGGGCCAGGTGAGCGACAACGACCTGGCCAAGGAGGCAAGGTGCTTCGCGTCTGGTGAGGCGCAAGCGTGATATCCCGGAAGCAACACAACAAGCCTTGTCAAGAGTTGATGGAGTGAGTCACTACTTTGGGGCCAGGGCCCAGGGGTACGAGAGGGGTTTGGAGACACAGGGCAACCGCGTGAACGAAACACGGGAACAAGAGCAGGGCTAGACAAAGGGAAGGGAAGCATCAAGAGATGTCGTCGGAGAGCAAGTCGTACGTCGTTGACTTGATTGGGGATGGTCAGGCTGCGACTTTGGACGGGCTGCACGAGGAAGATGGAGGTGTGGTGTAGGGGTCCACGGGTTTATTCCCCTGCCCCCCCCCCTCCCCGGTCACACACTTGCATCTGCCCGTCGCAGTCCTTGTCTTGGTCCCGGGCTGACTGTCACTGAGCAGTGCGGTGCTTGAGCTCGAGCATGAGCAATGAGCATGAGCATGAGCATCAACGCAGTAGGAGTTTTGGTGTGGATGGGTGGAGACCCCGGAGGTGCTGTCAGCTGCTGTGGCGCAGACCAATGGAGGCTTCCGGAATCGAATCCACTTTTCCCGATTTAGATGGAGTCGGCGAATCACCTCTGCCCCGCTCAGCGACCGGCACCGCCTGCTCCACTTTCCGGCATCGACTTTGGGGATTACGAGCCACTTTTCCCCCCCGACGCACCATCCTCAACCCTCCCCTCCCCCCTCCTTGGACATCTCAGCTGGGAGCCTATCACCCTGTCTCTCTCTCAGTTTGGCTCTATCCCCTGGGGGGCGGGGGGAACCTTTCGATGTTTCCCTCTTTTTTGGACAGCTTCCAGTATGGATGAACCCCTCTCTAGACCTTCACCGCATTGTCACGATGGGCAAACAGTGCAGGGGCAAGCAGCGTCAACTTTGCCTCTCTGGCCACACTTTTGCTGTCTATAATCCATGACGGGACGATTCTAGACCACCTATCACCTCCGCGTTTGCCCGCCTGCACTTGGATAACGGATTCGAGCCCCGACCCTCAACGTCGCTAATCAGAACCTCTTTCCTTGGTGCATGATGGGTTGGGGGTGTATCTGGTGATCGCTTCTTGGAGGGGTCGCCTGCATCCGTCCGGCCTGCATGACGTACATCATCTGCGTCAAGGAGCTACCGAACGACACCGCGCCTTATCCGCCTGCTCCAAAATGCTAGACACTACTCTGTCTTCTCCAGACCCGTCTTTCAACCGGCTTGTCTTCGACCACTCGCTTGCCTTCCCGCCGGGCCTCTTCGGTCGTGCATTGGCGTTCCCGTGTTCCATACATGGGTCTCAAGGGCTCACCCGAGCCATTCACATGGCCTTCAAGTCTAGACAAGCGCCCCTAAATCAACGACCAAGAGCGAACCGGCATATCTGTCACGAAAAAGACAAGGAAGCATCTTCTGGCCAGAAATCCCATTTCCCCGGCCTAGACGAGTAGCAATCCCCACCACCACCGCAATCATGGCATGCCTTGGCTCTCGACTCGCTTCACAAACGCGGGTGGCGCGGCTGAGTTCATTTCCACGCAGCCCGTCCGACCCTCCACTGCTCATCTTTCGCTATCCACTCCAAGATCGGCAAAGACGGGGGCGCGGACTGATGCAGCTCCGACCGCGACGCTGCTAGCGACGCGTACTCTCTCACGGCCTGGGCTGGCTCATCATCTTGGCGTCGATTCACCACACCACCTTCCTGCCTCCTTGCCCGAGACACTTTCATACTTGTTTCAGGAATGACTGCAGTTCGAGCTGCCCACTGCCCGCATAGAAAGGATACAATGGCGTTTGTCTACGGCTTGTTTGGTGATAGACTCGGTTGCATTTCGCTCATCTTTCCCCCATAGAGGACCGCCCACTACTACCCCACCAACGACTCGGCATTACAGCCAATACGACTTTTTTCTCCTCTTCAAACCCCCTCGGTGTCCTGCTAGCAACATTCCCACGGCCCGCCGTGGCACTTGACGTCGCTTATCTGGACCACGTCTCGGCAATCTCAACCATACACGATAATCACCTCCACATCGCTACAATCACATCACTTGCGCTGCAACAACACTCCTTGTTCTGAACCCTTCCTCACACAGCACAGCACAACACAACACCCAACATACCCTATACAGCGCTTTCATTATCTTCCTCTTTCTCCTTCTCTCTCGCTCTACCTCCCATACATCTCATATTGTCTTTGCATTTATCTTTACTGGCGTGAAGGGGGACAGGGGTTGGAATAGAACAGGGGAGAACTTGGACTGGGAACGGTCGAATCATGTAAGGCTTTCTAGAAGACAAGTCAAAGAGGAGGAGGCTTGGAATGGGATATTGTGCGGACAGAACGACGGAGAATACACGGTGTCACAGGTGTCTTTGGTATGGTACGGACCGGTACAGGTCGGTTCTCGGGGAATCAGGTAACGGGGATACAACATTTTGGTGGGCTGCACATAGCATTATACCCTTCGCTTTGCTTTTGATGGCTTCGGGATCTGGGTTTTCGGTATTGTCACATATGGGATAGTCTCCTGATAATCATAATCGCTTGACATCTTTAAGAATTTGGTCCTCACTCCTCCTCGCGTGATGTAGAGTGATTCACGGCACTTGATATGTGTACTTCCCGTCGAGATGTCGCATCTCTTCCGTGACTGCCTTGGATACAGTACACCGCTGGGTTGATTATGAGGTTTGGCTGATTCACTGCTTCCACCGATCAAATGAAGCGTTGTTGGCCGTGATGAAAGTGATCTATCGAGACCACCCCGACTTGTTTAAAGAAGCCAAGTATCAAGTGGTCATGATTCTGACCATCAATCCATTCTGAAATCCAGCATTGCTATCAAGGTATCTCGGACACTTGGACTAACAAGATCAACACATCTTCCATTGGCACCACAAGCTCCAACAGAATCACCAAAATGGCAAGCGACTCGAGCGTGAACGCCCTGGTAGGTATCCTGTCCTTCACCATAATTGTGTCAGTCCTCTTCTTCTGCTTCCTCCTGTACATGCGCTTCGTCAAGCGGCGCGTCCTCGTTCCCGTCAATCTTGGACCGCGCAGAGGACGGAGTACCACCGCCGTTCGGGGCAGCGTTGCCGGCGATTCTACTGCGGGAGCGGTGGAGGATAACAGAGATGTTGGGAGCGAGTTGGGTCGGGCTGGTGGTGCGACGACGGAGGAACCGGCGAGGGTGGTTTGAGGTCCACCGTGCTGATGGGATGGGATCGGGAAAGTTGAAGTTTGCAACAAAGGCAAGGAGCGCCACCTGGTGATGGACGAGAGGCTCATCTTGGGAGGGAATTCAATGGATCCAACATGACATTATCAAGTAGTAGCAAAAGTGGAGGGACATCCGTCTTGGTGGAAAAACAAATACTCCATCGTCATTCTAGCCCCCTACACGCGAGGTAACTCCTCAAACTCAAAGATATCCAAAGTTCCCATTGCACAACGCCTTCGATTCCGCCCTCTCTCTTCCCCTTGCTCATATTCCAAACCGCATAGCTGCATATTTCCCTTGGCAATAGTAGTACCTCTTTATAGTATCTTCCGTGATGCCCACATTGGCGCATGCCTCTCGAAGCCACCGAAGCTGGTCGTTCCTCATGTCTGCGTTGGCATCGTGCGGCAAATGAATCGTGATACTTCTCGCTTCGGGCTGCCCATTCGCTCCAGTCGGTGCCGGTAACGCGGATTTGGGAGTCCACCTGAACCTCTCGCGAGATCCCTCACGGGTCTGGCGGGCAAAGTCGAACGCGCTAAAGAGCTCAAGCACGTTCCTCTTGACGACGGATCCGACGCCGTGGCTCCAAATATTTTCTATAGTCGCCCAAACTGACCTGCTTATCATGACCTTGTCCGTCTCGTCCTTGTCTTCTGCCTCTTTATCCTCAGGAGTCGACACCACTACGAGCTTAGGTAGACGAGAGTCCCATTGGGGAGGTTCGCGGTGGTCCGGGGGCGCGGCAGTCATGATCTCTCCGCAGATCTTCTTGCAATCGTACCAAGGTTGTTTCAGTTCCAAGTCAACTCTGTCAGAGGGGTTGGTAGCGAGGTATCGTTGAACACCGGCTGGTCGACAACACCTTGGCGTCGCGGCATTTTTGCCGACTTTGCCCCTCTTGCTCCCGTGCCTCACGATACCGCCGCCACCCCTACCACCGCCCGCAGGACTCGTTTTTTTCTTTGACTTCTTGACCTCCTTCGAGCCCTTTGAATCCTTCGACTCCTCTAACTCCTCCCACTCCAACTCTTTGGTCGACTTTACAAGCCCGTTGCAGAGTTCTCGCCAAAAGGTCCTCACCCACAACTGGGCTAGCAACGAGTGCCGGCCGTAGTCTTTGTCTCCATGCGGTTTGTAGACGACCCCGAGTAACCATTGTGTGTACCTCAGCGTCTCCTCTTGCACAAGATCCTCGAATGGTAAGTCGTCGAAACCAATGAGAAAAGGGCCTGCTGGGCTTTCACGGCGCCGCGTGCTGCGACCTTCGGCATCCAGGAGATCTTGTCCGAATGGGTGTACAAGTTGCATGTGGTGGCAGAGTAGGCCTGTCAAGTGTATAGCTTCATAGTCTCTTGTGACTGACGTCTGAGCCCCGAGTGCTGTGTGTCGCTCATAAAGCTTCGTGCGCAAGGCCCGGATGAGCTTCGGTAAGCCAATGGACCCAATGTTGAAGTTGCTCGCAAGTCCGGTGTGGACATTCTTGATTGACCACCAGGTTGGACTATCCAACTTTTCGATACCAGGTTCGTTCATGTCGTTATTGTCAATGTCCATTGCGTCCTCGTGTGTTGCCGACCCGCGGTCCCTTACAGTGAAGTCTATTTTGGTACCGGCATACTCCTTGGGTAGGTCCCAATCGTCCTGGACTACTTGCAAACTCGGCCAGCTAGTATCTCGACGAAAGAGATGCCGGGTTGTTTCGGTGGCAAACAAGCCGCCATGGCCGACGACGTGGTTGATTCGACGCTCCACAAACCAACGTGCATGGAAGCCCAAGTCGACCCAGGCCTCCTTCACTTTAGGTTGATCGTCTGGTATTTCTAGACACTGGGAGTTTTCTGAGCACCAAAGGTTAACTCCGCTGGCACGAGCAAGACCCCACAAGGCATCTATTTTGCTAACCAGGCATTGCCACATTTCGACTTCGTATAGAGCCCACTGGACGACGCGTCTGATGATATCATTGATCAGACCCTTCTTTGCGTCAATGTCGCGTGCCAAAAAATGAGGAAGTTTGCCTTGGTATGACACCGCCATTGCTGCCTTCTTCGGAACATGGTGGACGGAGGTCTGGGGTTGCTCGGATACGTGTCCGTAGTGCTGCTGGAATTGCTCATCGACGCATTGCTGGAAGTAGAATGGATCATGCCAAAGGCTTCTCAAATGGTCGTTTGACCATTGTAATTGCTGTGTGAACTTCGCCTTAAATTCGTCAAGCCAGTTTCGGTGGAGAGAGGCTGGTGGAGAGAGGCAGGTGGAGAGAGGCTGGTGGCATGTACAGCCCGTATTCGACTATTCCCTCATTTTCGAAGTAGAAGATTCTTTCTGGACGGTGCGCTTTTGCCCAGGCATCGACTCGGTCATCGTCGATACTTTCAGCGCCTACTTCTTCCTTTGGTTGACCGCTTTTGATCGCTATTGCTTTGGTGACACCGTAGAGGATTTGGTAAAGCAGGGCTTGGGTATGGAGGAGATGGATGCCGTCGGCCCAGGTAAAGAGGCGACCACTCTTGCGCAGATGTTCAAACATCCAGTCTTGGTCAGGGTCTCTTTGGTCAGTATGGCATATCAGAATGAAGTCGTCCACAATGAAGAAATATGGGGCGCTTCGCTTCAGTCCCATCTGTTTGCTCATCTGGACATCATCTGGCGTGAGAATCCCAATGAATCGATTGTCGGCAAATTTGGGCAGGAACAGCTTGCTGGCTCGACCAAGATGCAGTGCTTCCCAGTCTGCGAATGTAAAGGCACTGTGGTCGCAATACATTCGGTTTATGATGAGATGTGCCAGAAGCTTGGGATTGCTGAGATCGGATTGGTTCATCCAGGATAATAAAAAGGCCCTGTAGGCCCGTTGCGTGTCACTGGTGGGATCGTCTCTGTAGATGACGTTTTTGAACGAGACTCCAGCGCTTCCATTCCCGCATGTACGAGTTTCAATGTCTTTGAACAGCCTATAGTATTCCTCCAAGTCGGCACTGTGATTATGCGGAAGCCCGTCGTTTTTACCAAAGACGTCGAGTTCGGGATGACGGGTAAGGGCAGCTTTATACGCTCCATCGACGAGTGTTAAAAGCTCGTCACGAGGCAGGAAAGGTTCGTCCTCGAGTAGGTTCGTGATAACTTCCACGTTGACCCTCCCACGGAGGGCCCTGAAGGCTGCGTGTGACTTGGAGAGAGCTCGAATCATCTGAAATTCGAATTCCCTAGCATCTCCTTGAGTTATCAGCTCTGTGGAGAGGAACTCATTGGTTGCACCTCGTTCCTCAATCGGCCCTCGAAATCCGATATCTCTTAGTTTTTGTAGGGGTTGTTTTTCTTGAGTGCTCCATGGGCCATCTGGCAGCCAGTTGAGAGACGAGTAGACCTTGTCCAGATATTGCTCTGCTCCGTCATAGACATCCTGCAATGATTCTTGCATAGCAAAGCACGGACAAGGCGGGTAAAAGAATCAGAGTGGATGCGTGCTGGAAGGCTGATAGAAAGGTGCAGAGACAGCCAGCGTCGTATAGAGTGGCTAGTAGTGAGGATTGAGAATGCCAGTAGCAGCGGAAGACACAGAGAATGAAGAGCGAGACATGGCTCAAGTATTCTGTTGAGGAGGCAGGTCGGAATAAACGAGATGCCACGATGGCGAGGCCTAGAGAAAGATGTCGAAACCACGAGGACAGGGAAAGGCGCTCAATTTCAATGACATTATTCGAGAAAGCATGATGAAAGAGACTTCTTTGGTTTGGGGAAACAACAATCCGATAAGCTAACAAAGTAACGAAGGGAGAGGGAAGGATGCGTGGGTGAGTGACAAGGTGATTATTTCTGTCATCTTGACAATTGACGAGAAGGAAAGGCGGTTTCGAGCTTCGTGGAAGTGAAATAATTGTGCCTGGGATTAGTTCCCGTTCAACGAACTCCCGAAACAACTTTGTGATGGAAGAGCGTCGTAGCTGAGGATTTGAACAAAAGGGAAGGGCGCGGTTTAGCCCAATTGGCGTACTGGGCGAGCGGGGAGCGTACTTGGAGAGACAGAAATGCCAAGTTGGGTTGATGGCTTCAAACATCAATACATCTGGTATGAGATGTGATGAAGTGCAATGGAAAACGACAACGGTGGTGAGAATGTGGTTGTGGAGAGGTAGGTAGTTTTTCGTAGGGGTCTAGGCTCGGTCCAAGAAGACTCGCATCGTTGTTCAGATGAACCATACGTTCAGGTAGACGCTGCTAGGATACCACCTACTGTGTGGTTCCTGAGTTAGCCGTCAATAGCGCGGCTGTTGGTGGGCAGCAAGTTCTGGCAAGTTGCAACAGGTCGAGGAGAGGTGAAGGTGTGAATCGTGACTGTCAAGGAGATTTCCCGTGGCATTTTGCAGGCCGACTGGTGCCGGATCCGGGAAGGCAAGGGAAGCCCATGCTTAATTGAGTTAGAGCTGCTGCGGGTCTTGGGATGGACAAGACCCATATTTACACGCATCAACAAGGACTAGCGTCCTGTTTAATGAGTGGCGCTCGGCGCGCAGGAGCCATCTAGCCGGGCCCACCGTCCCACGTCGTATTTCCACGAGGGCAGGAGCTAAGACCCAAGAGGGTCAGGAACGCCAGGGGACCAGACAAGAGGGTCCTTCCTTTTTTCTTTTTGTTCTCCTTCCTCGCCTGCGGCCTGAGTCCTGACTTTCTTTGTTTCGTTGCTTCCCGTTGTTAGTAAGGTAAGGTACCTAAGGCAAGGTACCACAATGAATGGCCGATCGTGATAGGCAACTGCGCGGAAGAAGCAAGAACCCTGAGAATGTTTCCGGAAAGAACACCTCCACAGGTGATGCCACCATGAATATCGCTGAGAAGGGGCATGGATGCCAACTTGCCCGATAAATGACAGTCAGCTACAGTCTACGTAGTACAGACACAAGTACCTATTCATACACCGGGCAGTTACACGGCCATGCCCAGAATCCAGGGGCAAGGTCAGCTCAGGACGCGCCATTGGGTGGACGTTTGGCCAAGACCAATGGACAAAGGCATCAACCCTCAGTACTATCAGCAATCGGCCCAGCCCAGCCCGGGCGCCGCAGTAACTACCTTAGCTCAACCACCTCAGCTTGGCGGTAGGTGGGTGGTATTATTGCCTCTTGCATTCCCTCCACTCCCACCACTCCCACCGACGTATCCGTACACCTACAGCCCACCTTGCCTACGTGCTTTCCTAGGTACGGGCAACAGCCCAGTGAGATGTTACTTCCCAGATTACCTTACCTTACTTGGAGGAGCTGAAGATGACCCTTATCGCGCAAAGACACCCAAGACACGCTACTGACGGACAGAACGCACCAGTGCCTGCGCCAGTCCCAACGCCAAACGCCAGCGGCAACGCCAACCCAGTAAACGCCAACGCCAACGCCGGCACCGCCAACATGGGATTTTTCATTCCTGTTTTCTCTTCTTCTTCCCCCTCCTCCCTCCGAGCTGCCGTCTCTTTCAGACTTTTTCTTGTTCAGCTCCGCCTCCTGCATTTGTTGACCAGTGCTTACCACGTCGTTTCTTTGAGGAGGTTTTTTTTCCGTGTGTTTAAACCATCCATTGTCACTCGTTTTCCCAAGTCAATCTCGTCGACAGCCCTGCATCCATCACAATCAGAATATCCCTACCTTAATTCTGCCACTTTCCACGCTCGCTCGTTCGTACCGAATACACAGTAATCGACAGAGACGAACCGACCGCAGGGATCAAGATTGTCTCTATTGTCCAACGTTGCAAACCTCACCGATACTCGAGTACCGTCGTCAATCTAGAGCCCGACACACTCGAAATAGCAAACGACACCCCTTGCGATACCCGTCGTCGCTTTTGCCTCCAAGGGCTACCCAAATTCATTCGACCCGAACCGCCCGGCCCCCCAGTCGCTGTTCAACCGGGTCTCACCCACTCGAGAGCCTCAACCTTGAACCCGCCCACCATGCTCTCCACATTCCTACTCGCCTTGGTGCCCCTCGTGGCAGCAACATCCTCCTCGAAACGCGGTCTCGTCTTCACTCCGAACTCCAATTGGCCTCAGGACAACCAAGTATGGGTTCAATCAGGTTCCGATCTGACGTGGTACTACAACTACCAGGAAATTCCAAGCCCGGCCTTCTCGGGGAAGACCCAGGCAGAGTTCGAGTTCGTCCCCATGATGTGGGGTGTCTCATCGAACCCCCAAGACACGACATTCCTTAAGAGCGTGACGAGCTTGATCAAAGACAAGGGCATCAATATCACCCACGCCCTAGGCTTCAATGAACCTGATGGTCCCTCATCATATGGCGGCAGTGATGTTGCCCCTTCTATCGCCGCCAAGGCCTGGGTCGCCAACTTCATTCCTCTTCAAGAGCTCGGCGTCAAGGTCGGTCTTCCCGCCTGCACCGGCGCTCCGGGCGGTTTGCCCTGGTTGAAACAGTTCCTGGGTAACTGCTCTGCGCTCATCAGCACCGACGGAGAGACCAAGAACTGCACATACGACTTCCTCCCGGTGCATTGGTACGATAACTTTGGAGGCCTGGCGAGCCACATTGGTGAACGTGTTGCAGCGTACGTTGCCACTCATCTCTCATGCTGTGCGCTGTTCCTCAAATAATTAACACTTGCCTAGGTTCCCCGACACCAAGATCTGGATCACCGAGTATGCCTATGCCAACCAGGAACTCTCCGCGACCCAGGACTTTTACAACATGAGCGCAGAGTACTTTGACCGCATCGACTACATTGAGCGGTACACGTACTTTGGTGCTTTCCGCTCCAAGACGAGCAACGTTGGCCCCAACGCCTCGTTTTTGAACAATGACGGCAAGTTGACAGACATTGGCTCATGGTACCTCGGCAAGAGTGCCACGGGCGTGAAGCCGACGTCCGGTGATAGTAGCGCTGCCGTCCGTGGAGGCGCACCAGTGCTTACTGCGATGGCGGCCACTATCCTCGGTGCCGTCTTCACTTTCACCTCATGATCAAAACCGGCAACATATAGATTCGGTCCTGCGCAGCACGAGATGTGAGGGTTCTCATGACGATGTCATCATGATCTTATACGATGTAGGGCAGGGATATATACTACCTCCAGGAACACATTCATCACATAGACGAAGCCAGGAGAATAGCGCCTGGTCATCTTTTTTTTCTTCTCCACATATTTGTAAAGTCTTTTCTCATATCAAGTTATAGAACGCGGATTAGAGGGATAAAGAGCGGCGAAAAGCTGTCGCCTTAAGCCCAGAAGACATTTTGGACATGTCCAGGGAACGAATACAAATGACGATGTTAACAAAATCTGTATTATGTTTAATGAACTGGAACAAAGTGGGAGTTGTTGATTACTATCCCTTCTATACCTTGAACTCGATGATGTCCTCGGCCTAAAGTCGGCATTAGCAGGGTGAGCCGTGGGGTTTGACTTTGATGCAGAACATGGTCACGAACTCAAAGTCGAACCAAGTGTCATCTGATAAAAAGGCAATGTTGGTCAGCAAATTCAACGGCAGTAGTTTGTCAGGTTTGTAAGACCGGGGTTCGCTGCGATGCGATGGCAGCAAGACGTAGCCGGCGGCCGGCATTTTGGGGAGAGAATGACCTCGGCGAAAAGTGTTACTGGGCGTTAGTTGACTAGTGATGAAGAGCGCGGCTGGCTAACAGGAGATATCCTCCGCGCTACTGCACCCCAGACTCCATGGCGACCCCCATTACTCGGATTCTCGACTCCTACTGGCCGGCTCTGTGGCCGAGATGCCTCGGTCCAATTGACTCCCCCACAGCCACTGGTCTGGGCTGGAACACTACGCCTGGGGAAAGACCCGAGCCCCGACACGATTGCCGGCAGCTAAGCCGTCATGAACCATGTCTACGACTACTTGACGCTGCTTGGCCCCCCTCCTTTCAACAAACTGTCGACCAAACTCTCGAGCTTGTTTCCCCTTAACTTCACTTCTTCTCTGTCCTCGTTCTTCCACTGCCCCTTGAAGAGAAAAAACAGCAAAGCCGTCGTCGTAATATCTCCACATCCATCCAGTACCATGGCTCTCGAGAGAATCGGATCCATTGTGAAGCACCTGGCACCAGGTAGCGCCCTCAACCAGATGTACGTACGGTCCTTTTTGCGCACATGTGATTGCGTGTCTCCGATTAGAAGCATCGCCACCGATAGCAAAGGAACCAAACAGCTGACATTGCGTTCCCCTCACAGCACCTCCAAGAACCCCGATGATATCGTCATTACGTTAGCCGTCCGCACGCCTTTGGCCAAGGCCAAGAAGGGTGGCTTCAAGGACACAACTCTCGAGTACATGGTGTACGCCCTCCTCAAGGAGGTCCGCGAACGATCAAACATCGACCCCGCCCTGGTGGAGGATATTTGCATGGGAAATGTGCGTAGCGACAGACAACCGACATCTCATCTTGTGTAGGCAAACCGCTGACCCTTGACTCTCTCACAGGTCTCCGATGGCAAGGCCGCCTACAAGCTCCGCGCCGCCGCCCTGGCAGCAGGCTTCCCCAACACCGCCGGCGCCTCCTCCGTAAACCGCTTCTGCTCCTCGGGCCTCAAGGCCACCGCCGACATCGCCCACGCCATCAGCAATGGCTCCATCGAGGTCGGCATCGGCATGGGCGCCGAACAAATGACCATTGGCGGCGACGCCCTCGACCAGCCCTTTGACGAGGCCGTCGTCTCCCAGTCTCAGGAGTCCGCCGATTGCATGCAGCCCATGGGCTGGACCTCGGAGAACGTGTCGCGCGACTTCAACCTCAGCCGCGAGGAGCTCGACAAGTACGCCGCCGAGAGTTTCCAGAGGGCCGAGAAGGCGCAGAATGCTGGTTGGTTTGACGACGAGATTGTGCCCATCAAGACGAAGCTTGTCGGCCCCGATGGCGATGTCAAGGAGGTCACTCTTACCCGCGACGAGGGCATCCGGCCCGGAACAACGGCCGAGAGCCTGGGCAAGATTCGTTCTGCGTTCCCGCAGTGGGGTCCCACCACTACCGGAGGCAACGCCAGTCAGGTCACTGACGGAGGTGAGTCTGCACCTACTCTCGGTTTAGTCCATGTTTACAAGCGTGCTAATCCTTTTATTCAGCCGCCGCCGTCCTCCTGATGAAGCGCTCCACGGCCATCAAGCTCGGTCAGCCCATCATCGCCAAGTACGTCGGCTCCACCGTCGCCGGCCTGGCCCCGCGCATCATGGGCATCGGCCCGTCCGTCGCCATCCCCAAGCTGCTCGCCCAGCACAACCTCTCCCTCGCCGACATTGACGTCGTCGAGATCAACGAGGCCTTCTCCAGCATGGCCGTCTACTGCCGCGACAAGCTCGCCCTCGACTGGGCCAAGATGAATCCCCGCGGCGGCGCCGTCGCCCTGGGCCACCCGCTCGGCGCCACGGGCGCGAGACAGATTGTCACCGGTCTGAGCGAGCTGCGCAGGACGAAGAAGAAGATTTTGTTGACGAGCATGTGTATTGGTACGGGACAGGGTATGGCTGGTTTGTTTGTCAATGAGGCTGCGTAAAGCAAAATGCGAGATATCTGTCGATAGTTGGGAACAAGCATCGAGAATGTGAATGATTGTACGATCACTGTCCCCGAAGTTTACGGGTATTGGTTAGTGTCAGGACTGAAGTTTGAAAAGTGTCGCTGGGGAGCTGTGGTGATTCTGAATGTAAACAACAGCTGTGGTCCAGACGACAATGCCATGTTCAACATGTCAGCGAAACATACACATTACTTCAGAATCAGGCTAGAAGAAGTTTGGAAAACAACCGCGCCACTTTTCATATAAACTTTCTATAAACATATCCATAACGTAATCGTTGCGAATCGTTAAGCATAAAAGTACGCTTCGTAAGACGAACAGATATCCTGCAAGAACTGAAAATCGGAACGCCTTTCCTCGCTCCAAAATGCTGGTTACCAAAAACAACGCCGCATTCTACCATACGTACAAACCAACCTCGCGCACTTGGCGATCAGAATTGACTGACTTGCGCCTCTTTGTCAAGCATTCGCGACTTCGCTGATGCTAGTCTCGTACTCGGTCAACTTCAAGGCCTCCTGAACATCAGTCACGAAATGCGACTCTCCGCCGACCAGGTCTATGATGCCTGCCTGTCTCAACAGTCTCCAGATGTGATGTCGCGGGTTCGTAGGGCCGCGACTGAAGAACACTCTAACACCACGCTCTCTATACCCGCTGACAATCTCCAACAACACCTGCGTACCCGATCCGTCTAGTGAGGTGACACCATGGATATCAAAAATGACATTCTTGTTGTGTTGTTCGCCGCGCAGTCTCGGCAGCGCAGGGTGCGCCATGCTCGTGCCGTAAAGCTCCAGTCTACGAAGGCGCGCCTTGAGCTCTCCAGTGTTGGCAAAGGTCAAAGGCTCGGGAATCTTGACAATGAGGCAGCCTTCGACAAACTCTAGCCTATCGGGGTTCAACTCGGCGTTCTCGAAGCGCTGTGTGCCGGGAATGCGGCCCAGAATCTGAATACGGGGGCGAGTCGAGTGCTTGATGACCTGAAGCAAAGACAGTCCAACGCCAATAGCCATGCCGAGGGTGAGCGAGTAGAAGATCGTCGACACGAAGATGATAAGCATCAATCCCAATTCAGTCCAGCCTCGGATCTTGAAGAAGAAAGCGATGTCGTGCGGCGCCTCCTCAAGGAGGGACCAGGCTACAACGGTAATCATGGACGACAAGACCGGTTTCTGTGAAGATTAGATGATGGTCTTACACTTGGGAAAGTGGCAGCTTACGGGAAGGTAGTAAAAGTAGGGCAACAGGAAGAATACAGCGAGAAGCGTAATCAAACTGAGGAAGATGGAGCTCATTGGCGTCTTGCCGCCGGTCTGCTTGTTCAGTTTGCTTCTACCATATCCGCCAAATGCGGGCAAGCTCATGAAGCAAGCTCCGACAATGTTGGCGGCGCCTAGAGCGACAAGCTCTCTGTTGGGGCTCAGCTGGATCCCGTGCGGGCTATCGGAGCTGCTCAAGCTTTTCGCGGCAACAGATGATTCGAAGAATCCCAGAAGCGCAATTAGGAAGGATGTGCCCATTGCTTCGCGAACATGTTCCATGTGAGAAGTCTGGAAGGGCCATCTGAATTGAAAAAGATGACCCGAAGCCGCCTTAACTGGCCCAAGAATTTCGACTCCCTTGCTCTCCCAGTCGAAGTGCCAAGAGAGAACTGCGGCAATGACGACAACGAAGAAACGATCGGGGATGTACGCAACCCCAGGGTACTTGGGCACCATGTGTTTCTTGAGCTCTCTCATAGTCATCATGATTACGAAGCTGACTCCGGCAACAATGAAGGTAAGCTTGTGAACATGGTCGAATGAGCTGAAGATGAACTCTAGCTTGTCCATGCTGCTTCCATGGCCCACACCCATTTCTGCTGCATACTTGGCAAGACCAAGCTCGGGAATAGACTGGTCAACCGCAATAACAAAGCCAATTGCAGAGATGAAACCGCGCAGGAACGGCTTGCTGAGAACACTGTCAAGGAAGCCCAGGCGGGCCAGACCCGCAAGAAAGACAGTAGCACCAGCCATACCCGCAACAACACCACAGATCTTAGCTTGGACCTCTGCATTGTACTCATCGCTCTTGTCATGGTCGATGCTGCCTCTGACCACAGACCCGACCAACAAAGAACCAGCAGCTTCCGGGCCAACTACCATCTGAGGTGCGCTGCCGAAAACGGCGTATACGAATGGGTTGAAGACGAAGGCATACAGTCCATTGATCGGAGGGACATGTGCGAGGTTGTCGGCGAGAGACAAAGCCATAGGTAGGTAGAGGGAGGCGAGCGTCAAAGCTGCAACGAGGTCTCCCTTCAGATACGACCATTGGTACTGCGGCAGCCAAGTCAAGAGAGGGATGTAGTACGAAAGGTACCTGGAAAACAAGCAGAATTAGCAAGCAAAGCAGATTTGAGCGGTGAGAAACCCGGGGTCCAGGTTCTGCTCACATCCAAACGGTATCCTTGAAGCCAGCCTGCTCTGCCAAAGTTCTCGAGGAGTGCATCTTCCTGCTCTTAATCTTCCTGACGAATCGCTTTCTCCAGTGGTCGTCGCCCGTGATTGCGGTTAGCACAGGGTCCAAGATTGGGATCTCGGACGCCGAGGAGGATGCTCTGTCAAATTCGGGATCCATGCTACCAGCAGGGCTGGCGGGTCGCGGCGAGAATGTACCATTCGGGTAACTGTTAGCTGGCGGGTGATCGATGAGAACATTCTGCAATAGGCTCGTCGACTCGCTCGGGGGAAACGTGTTTGGTCGATGGAGGCTAGAGCCGGCGCGAGGAGGATCGCGAGTTTCGTTGTCGTTAGGAAGAGGGGTTGCTAGCGGAGTGGCATCCTCGCGAGTGCTCAAGTATTCGGATTCGCCGCCGAGAGAGCTTGGGGATTGGATGGGAGAGCCCATGGTGTAGCTCTGGCGCAAACCGCTGGGGTTCGCTGGGCGATGTGTTGTCTGCGTTGTTTGTGTTGTTTGCGAAGAAGGGCTGCGACTCGGTTGTGGTCGGCTACCTGACATTTTTTTCGTACCCCCAAACAAGATGACGTTACAAGTTCATGCGGCGAGGGGCAGCAGAGAGGGCGAGAGAGGAAGAGCGCTGAAGAAAATGCTCGGATGAGATTGGCGGGGGTGAGCTCAAGCGAGACTGGATCTTGAGATCTAGATCAATTTGGAGGTTCTCTGGGACTATGCGTATGCGTATACACTGGGCGCAACACTGATCTTGTTGATGTTGTTGTTTTGATGTGACGAGAGGTTGCAGTCGTCTCGAGTCTAGGTCGCAAATGTTGCCGGCGGGTAGAGACGGAAGGACGAAATTCGGGACGGAAAAGACGGTGATGGGGATAGAAATGCCGAGTATCAGTTTGTTGGAGCAATGCCAGGCTGAACCATGAAAGGAAAATTTGTCACAGCAAGGCTGACTCGTTGGTCAAACAATTGCGACGAGAGAGATTAGAGGTGTTGTGGCTCGCGACCTTGGAAGAGGCGAGCGTACTGGTGCTGGTGGTGGTGCCGAGCCGGTGCTGGAACTGTGGTTTGTGGACTGGGAGCTAGGTAGCTAGCACCATAGGGCCCCAAACTTCAAATGCAAAGGGCCGCTTGGGAACGAGGGAACGAAATGGTCGGTGAATGTTTTCTGCAAGGATTAGGATTCCAGTTCCGCAATTGCCCCAAGGTCCAAGGATCGGAGTGACATCAATGCGTTGGGGCTCTTCAAAGTTGTGTGTCAGCGGAACTCGATTCGACGATACGACCTTCCCACCTTCCCTACCTTACTATATCCGTATGGCCTACGGGCAGAACCGACCGGGATGTTTTTGTCTGCGGTTACGTACTGATTGCCATGTCATTCCCAGCTTAGGAACCAGTGGCATCCTTCCGTTGAGAGGGAGTGCCGTAATACGGTGAGGACGGCATACCGGCAAAACCATCCCGCAGCAAACAACAATACTAGTCCTGATCTGGCATCTACTTGCTTACCGCCTTAGATGGTGACTGATTACGTGAGTAAAAGCCAAGTTCTTGTGTACCCCGCCTGTCCACTCATTGCCCGCGGCCCCTCCTCCTGCACTGCACATCTTCAGCGCCGATGCGGTGCTTCCCGCCTGTTGTCTCCAGAACTCCAGCCGATCGGCAAAAGAGAAGCTGTGGCTCGTGCGCTGTATAGTAGAAGTGGCTGGTGCAGCTCTCACCTCATGTGGCTGGAGTGAAGCTCCGTCTTATTGTAAAATGCCTAAGGTGACATGAGCAGATCCCCCGCCAAAGGGACGCATCCATTGCGTCAAAGCATCCTATCACAACTCACGCCCCTGAATCTCATGATACTCGTCATGAGCACCACCATCATGACCTGCTTACCATCGCCTTACTGGCACGGCCATCACTCACTCATCCTCCACGATCCCAGCTGAGCTTCTCATTCCCATTCCCGAGGATTCTGCAGCCGTTGACGCACCTAGACACCATGTCGTTGACCAAGACCACTCTTGTATTTGCGAAACGCACGATCCCGCTCGAGTGCGATGTGTATTCCTCTGCTGAATACCCACTCACAGCTCCCGTCTTCCTGTACTTCCACTCAGGTGGCCTCGTGAGCGGTTCCCGGGAATGTGTGCCGCCTTGGCTTGTACAAGTGAGCCCTTCATCTTCATGAACAACCACCCGTGCTTCCTCATCCGACAAAGGTAGCTGACCTTACCACACTAGGTCTGCTTCAAGAATCAATGGACTCTCATCAGTGCGAGCTATCGGATGCTTCCCCAGGCCAAAGCTTCAGGTCTGCTCCAAGATGCCACCGACGCTTACTCCTTTGCCCTACGCTGGGGAATCACAAATGAACTTGCCTCAAACCGAAAAGTGATTGTAGGTGGATCGAGTGCGGGTAAGTGGCTCTTCACTACGTTGCCTCACACCTTCATCGAGGCCCTGACTTGAGTTATAGGTTTCTTCGTCGCCTCTCTGACGGCTCATCACCTCCGCCCGACTCCTATTGCTCTGTTATCAATCACCGGCATCACTACTTTTCGTCATCCATATTTCAGTTCTTCAGTCTTACTTACCCCGGAACCCATAACTGAAGCACAAATGAGCCATCACTTATCCGCACCGGTATCCATAGGAGTGACATCCGCAAACAATCCACAGGTCTTCCATATCGAAAAGATCCTTCCTGATGGCGCCAGGAATACCGCATTTGTATTGCCTCCACTCCCCATCTCAGATGATGGCAACTGCGATGAGTTCCCCCGAGGATGTCTTTATGACTACTACCTTTACCGCAATGAGTTTCTCAACCTTGTGGGTGAAGTTGACCCAGGCTACGAGTGGGCCGAAAGTGAGAGGGGAGAGAGTAGAGCTGCGGCGTGGCCACCCACGACCGTCATACAAGGTGACGCTGATGAAGATGTCGATCTCTCCGTGAGCACTCACATGGTTCATTGTCTCGGGGAGAGCAAGGTGAAGCTCTTCCTTGCTGAGGGACAGTCCCACCTTTACGAAGCGACGAGGTTCATTGAAGACGATGTGAGTGGAATGGATGCTGTTAGACAGGCGGTATCAAATCTGGAGGCCGACGTTGCTCGTGTCCTTGCCTGACCGATACTGTCTCACTGGATTCGGGCCAGGTTGAACCAAGCACAAGCTGTGGGAGAAGGGTGATTGTTCCAAACTGAGATGACCTGATGGGCACGTAGCAATCGAGGGTTTCCTCCGACTGCCTGATCGCACGATGGCGCTGTATGATGGATCTTCTGCTGCTGACGAAGGGTCAACAATGTTTTCCTGTCTGCCTACCTCGACCTCCACCTCGCAACGGAAGAAGAGGCTTGGCCCGAGTCAATCACTCGAAAAAGCTGTCCTTGCGAAGTAATGTGGAAGTTTGTCTTACTGGTCATAACAAATAGTGTGCAACCCCCAACTGCGAGCAACCATGCGGCCTTCGACTAGAGAACCCCAAAGTCTCCGACGGCCCCGATCTGGAATTGAGGAACCTCAATTCAGGGGCCCCAAATCATCACTTTAATTTCATGCACGAATCTAGCTCTCATCACCCTAGCTGGGGACGCTTGCAGATCCTTAAACCAAACCAACATGACGGCGTAGCGTTACCATTGGCTGGTCCCCACAGAGCACACATGTGCCGCATTAATGTCACGTCCGCCCTGGGCGCTTCCGGTGCCAATCCCCGCTCTCCCGGGGGCCGTTCCCCGTCACTATCACACTCAGGACCATCACGTAAACTCCTTTGCCCAACAGCATCGCGAGACCGACCCCGATCAACTTCACATATCGAGTCCGCTATGCCCGCAATGCGGTCGCAATGCGGGGCCCTCTCATAAGACATCGGGGGCCATGGCTTTGTGAACATCTGAGAGCGAATCACTTGGCGTTTTTGGACCCCGCGCTCATCACGGAGCTGATTTCTCGTAAGCTCGACTGAATCAGGCACGGCCATTGGCAGCAAACATCAAGTTGCAGGGATTGAATCACACGCAGCTATTCGGCGCAACCCATCCCTTCACTCCTTTCGCCTTTGTCCATGAGGGCATTTGCTTGCTAGTCATTATGTTAATATAAGAGAGCCTTTTCCCATGTTGTTTTCCCTTGCTTCGATCTTCGGAGTACCATCAATCAATTCTCACTCCTGCTTCAACAACCTGCTCATATAAAGCTCAAATCAAAGCCAAGACTCAACTGCTTGTTCTCAACGAATATCTATTCAAAACAGAAACTTCGCGATAGGAAATTTTGACCCATTTAATTACATCACAATGCATATCTCAGTCAAATCCATACTTGGCCTCGTCACCTTTGGCTTGCTCTCAGTAGCAAATGCATCGGTACAGGATTCTGAGCTCATGGTCCCTCGCACATTCGCCAACGCCGACGGCACTACTTCAACAATACGCATGAACCGCAACATTAAGTTCACCCAGGGATCAGAAGGCACACGGCCAGTCCGCCTATCAAAAAGATTCCCCTTCTCTTCCGGTAGAGACGAGTGGTGCGGAGAGATGGCCGAGGACCCAGCGACAGACTTCTCAGCTTCCGCGCCTCTGGCAGCAGACTGTCAGGCACTCCCCAGCTCTCTCAGCAGTCAGAATGGATTTTGGACTTTACAGCCTGGAGACTTCGCTTCCGACGGGTGGGCTACTGTAGTGAGCTCCGGCACTTGCAGCTTTGCCGTCAGATATGCCGACTCTAGCAGCGCGGCTAGCCCTATGAACGTTGGTACGAACGATATCCGCTTCTACACGACGAGATATGGCGTCATGGCACAGAATGGGAAGCTTGGACTGCAAGGGACTGTGCAGTGTTACAACAATCAGAAGATGCTGTTTGTTACCTGGGGTTTAATTCACAGCTGAGTTGAAGGAGCAAGCAAGGTGCCAAAGTAGACGAACTCCCCTACCCTACGAGGAGGGAAATCGACCATGGCGAAGCCGCAGGTTAATAGTAGTAATTCCAAATAGTTGAATCATGATTTCACTCATTCTGGAGGCAGAATTGTTGTGTTTCGTTGTTTTGCATGAAGCACCTTACCTCATCCAACATCTTATTGCACGAGTCACACTTTCTTTTGTCCTTCCAGTGTCCATGGAGTTTGATTAGCTTTGCTATGATACTAATTAATGAGGAATACGACATGGACTCTGCTTTCTAGATACACCATCGCTTTTCAAACAATCCAGGCAATTGAACACCCGTCTTTGCTGGATGATCTTGTCTGCCTCCTTTTCGACTTCATGGGACAAGTTGCGGTTGGCGTACTTATTCGAACGACAGCCACAAACCCCAACCTCTCTTATGCACGAGAAATCCATCATGGTGATCTTGGGTAGATCAACTGCCGTGTTAAGTAGATTGCAGAACTTGTGAGTCGCGAAGTCGATGTCCTTTGGGAGGATGTTGGACTTTCGGAGAGTCTCGATGTACGACGCGAGAGCTTTAGCAGATCTCACACATGGGTTTTGAGAAACGTCCCATGTCCAGGTCATGGGACTGACGAGACCCTTGTAGAATAAGTTGCAGCATTCATGTCTTTTGGTCTCCAAACATCCTGAATGATCAACGTTAACTCGAGATGCCACGAGTCTTTTCAACGACCTGACTTACGAATTACGTCATGCCTTAGCAAAGGATGGTCTGCTAATACTTGAACTTGCTCCGAGCTTCGCGAGATTGGTCCTTCATGGTGGAGAAAGATTCTCCACGATAACTCTGAGAATTCGAGGTGGAGGTCTATGACATATGAAAAGACCAAGAGGTGACAAAGGTCGGCCATTGGTGGCACATTCTCATCGTAGTCTGAGAGCCAGTCCCTGATCCATACCATTCCGCAGTACTTGAGTGCCCCGGTGCATTCATACTTGTCGCACACAAAAGCAAGCCTCGCCAGACCGATGGGCCTTGGTCTCTCGGTGACATAGGCGTTGTGAAGAATCTGGCTCAGAATAGACATGGCCTCGGCATCGTCATCCGGGAGATCAAGGCTGTAGGGAAGTGAGAGCCCGGTACTCTTGGATAGTTCTGTGCCTTCTTTGAATTTGCCTCCCAGCATTACCTTGAAGACTGGCGAGTTCAGCATCAGAACCTTCGAAGATACCCTTACTTCCTTGTTCTGTAATTGCTCGTATTCCAGGAGCTTCGCGTCGGCGTCTACATCGTCTTCACCATCTTCGGCAACATCGGCATCGTCTATGCCCAGCCGGCTGAGCACAAGAATGAGATCTCCATCTTTGTCGATTTCGCGGCGGATTGACATATTGAAGTACACACGTGGATCTTCGTCTATGTCTGAAGATCACAAAGTAAACCACACAACGGTTTGCAGCAGGTCATTCAATTTCTCGATGTCATGTGTCAACGTGAAGTCCCGGAAGGTTTCAGGTCTGATCTTAAACTTTGCTGTGTCAGCATAGGTTGCCCATGTGCGTAGCTGGGATCACGGTCCGTGAATGAGTCTGAAACGAGAAATCTGCCCAGAGCTGGAGCTCAGTCTCTCACCACTCTAGCAAAGCACTTTAATGGTCCTACGGAGTTTCCGCAGGCTATCAGGTTCAGGGAATTGTTTTCGTTATAAAATTAGCAGTTGGACACAAACTTAAAAGTTCCAACTCAAGGATAAGAAGCAAGGATCGAATTACTTACAACGGTATGGTGAGCAGCTGAGACACTAGTCAACGGTGAAGTCAGATGACACATGTCATCTAGAAGGATTTCTATATAGAAACCAAGCTTGAAGTTCATGGGTCATATCATGCTCTAATCTCTGTAACATTCAAGTCTCACCGTAAGCGTTGGCACATGTGCGCAATGTTGTCAGACACAACACGTCTTGGACACATACGGTTAGACAAGCGGAAGAAAGGACCTTTAAT